CAAGGTGGTGCCCAAATATCTTTTTTCAATCAAGAGTCCCTCAGGACCCAGGGTCAGTCCTAATTTGTGTATTTGGCATTTCTGAATTTCGTCAATTAACATAATGGAAAATATATAATTAAGTAAAAATTACTTACATTAAAATTGTACATATGTAATTTCAGAATCTATAGTTCTGGATATAAACAATAAATGATTATAATAGATACCTTATACCTGTGTAGAGTTTTATATTATTAAAAGATTTTTCATATCCCAAGATAGCAAAAATATTAATTCACCTCAGGTCTCTTTCACTATAAACTTTGTTCATGAATAGTTTACTTTTAGTACAGAATTTAAAAGAACAGAAGAAGAAACAAACTATTGCCCAGGAGAAACTATATAATTTAGATGTAACTCAAAAAGCAGATGAGTCTCTTACCTCAATTAGGGACAGTGTTGTGTAAACCAGAGTTGTAATGGGTTGATATAATGTGGGATAATAAGTTATTTAGTGTTCTTTTTTCTTTTTTTTTATTATTATGTTATGTTATTTAATGTTCTTAAAAACATTTTAGTTCCAGAAATTTGATAGTTATTTTAAAAATTTCTTTTTTTGGATATTCTTATTAAATGCCAAATGGACTGACTAGAACACTCAAATGTATTGAGTTTCTGAAACTTATTCATACAGATGATATCTTCTTATATAACTGGCTATATTTTGATCAGGTATCAATAACATGCACCATAGGTCACTGAAACCTGTGTAATAATCCTCAGCTGCTCAGGCAAACCAACCCAAACCTGGAGGACAAAGTTCTTCAACTCAGGGTTCTAACAATTGGTATGCATTGCCTTTGATGGCCCAGGCATTACACAGTGAGATGTGAGACTCGTTATGTGCAGAAATTTAGCCTGTGATAATTTTCCTGAGCCATTTGCCCCTAAAGTAAATCCATATTTTTCAAGCATAAATTGTCAGCCATAGGCCAGCCTCCTTTTTCTCCTGCTGTGCCATAAGCCCAGATGATGCAAAGGCCAAGAATCCTCCTGGGGGCTTCAGGGTTAATTAAAGATGTCCAGCTGCCACACGAAGATAAACTCTATTCCCTCACTGACTCATGGTATGGCCTTCGGGTGGGCCTCAAAACCTGCCCTCTAGTTTCTCATCTGGGAAATGGAAGAATCAAAGGAAAAATGGTATCTAAGTTTCCTTTTAGTTCTGAGATTAGATACTATTCTTTGCCCCCATATAAGAAAAGCTTAAATACCATCTGGTGGAGAATCAAATAATTCATCCAAATACAGTACAACACGTTCTAATACCTGAAAGTAAAATCAACTGAATGAAAAATAGAAAATATTTTCCCTATGAAAACAAGAGTTTGGTCAAAGCTTAAATAGATCCAACCTTTCCTTTGTGGTGGATTCTGCATGAAAAACTTAAGACTGCCCTATCCACTGATGAAGGGAATAATTTAAGAAAGAAAAAGCCTGAACATTTCAACATTTTTAAAGAAAGATTTTAGTGATCCTAAGATTGGTACACTGGGCTGTCACTGTGGTCTAGGGCACTGTGTGTTGCATTTGGGATACAATTATTCAAGTTGGGGACCAAATGACAAACAATGAAGCAAGATATATCAGGGAGTAAATAATACAAAACATAAGTGAGTAGAGGGAAGGTGGAAGAGTCAACTCAATCAGAATTTGGTGAGGGGAGGTGAGATGTAGTCACGCTGCTCCAGACTGAAACCATGCCGCATTGCCTACATTTTATGACCAATGATAATTTTCATTTCCTTGTTGTCTTTGAATGCTTTTAATCCTTCCCTTAGTTGACAAATTGGACCAAATCCATTTTGGTGTTCCTCTAATTTCCTGATGAATGACGAGAGAGAAGGTCCAAGTCATACTCGTGGAACCAAGCAGGATGGTGAATACAGAAACTTCGGAGCTTTAGGGCAAATATTAGAAATTCTTTTTAAAAAAATCTATATCAAGATTTTATACTGAAAGAAATAGAAGGGGACTTCCAATGACAGATTTTTCCAAACTGGGCAAAAAGGCCTTTGACTTCTCCTTTCTCAGTTGATAATGTTCTTTTCTACTCTGGGTCAGCAGTGAAAAAGGTGGCCAAAATTGGGAGAAGAGTGTGAAACATTACCCTATACCTTGGTCTTGGTCCAGATGTATAACTTCCATACAAGTTTGAGCTGATACATTACTAGCCTTTTTAGTATTTCTATAACCTCACGCAGATAAAACCTTCTGATATGTACAAATCATCCCAGACTTGGATTCTTTTTTTTAAATTTTATTTTATTATGTTATGTTAATCCCCATATATTACATCATTAGTTTTTGATGTAGTGTTCCATGATTCATGGTTTGCATATAACACCCAGTGCTCCATTTAGTATGTGCCCTCTTTAATACCCATCACCGGGCTAACCTTGGATTCTTTTTAAATGTTTCTAGACCCCAAAATACCATCACTACTGAAATGGAGATCTTGGCACTGGTACCAAAACAAAGAAAGCCAACATAGATTCTACTGAGGTAGAGTATTCAAGATTTTTGAAAAAGTTGAAAAAAGATTTCTTGTCTAGTAATGCTCTGGAAGAGAGCAATCTGATGTATCACGGTTCTCACGTGAATGATAGATACTAAAAAATTACTTTGAATAATCACTCATTTAATAAATATTTATTGAGGGCTTACTCTAGACCATTATAGTTATAATAGTAAAAACAGCGTGTTCTTTCTTCTATGAAGACTTTGCTACAGCCAGCACTGTGCACTGCAAGTAATAGGAAAATTATATATATATATATTTTTAAAGATTTTATTTATTTATTTGACAGAGAGAGATACAGCGAGAGAGGGAATACAAGCAGCGGGAATGGGAGAGGGAGAAGCAGGCTTCCCGCGGAGCAGGGAGCCCGATGCGGGGCTCGATCCCAGGACCCTGGGATCATGACCTGAGCCAAAGGCAGACGCTTAATGACTGAGCCACCCAGGCACCCTGAAAAATTAGAGATATTAAGGTAGATGTTGTCAAAGGAGGTAGGGCCCCTACAAGCAATAATAAAGCCATAGTGAAAACTCTAAAAAAACCCCCAAGACTTTGCTACAGAATAACTGTCAGAAGGGCATGAACTCCAAGTTGACTTTTCTAGCCATCGTCTTTATCCATGTGCTCTTATTTGGACTGTGTATGTCTAATTGCACACTAATTCAAGACCATCCATTAGGATTAAGACTGCAGTCTTCACCCATGGCATCTTGTTTCTCTGGGAGCAAAGTGAATTGCCTTATATAAACGGACAGGACACAAGAATTTCTTTGGAGTCATCTACCTAATCAACCTAGTGCTGATGGCCACACCTGGGAATGAAAGGTGGCAAACCTTGGGTTTAGGTTACTCTATTTGGCTTTGTGGGATGGAAGGACAGGGATGAGCAGGCAGGACTCCAACCCGTCCCCAACTTAAGTCAGAACAGTTCCGAAGCAGGAGGGCTTTAGTCCCTATCTCCCCTCCAGGAGTTACTTGTTTGCTTCTTATAGGTATATTATCCTGCAAGTTGGTATTCTACCCCCAGAAAAGAGGGAGGTGACCTTCTAAAAAAAAATGCCACTTCCTTATCCCCTGATTCTCATCTCACAAAAGTGACAAGTGTGGCTAACATCCACAGGCTATATAAGATATATATGGGGTTGCTTCCTGGGAAATTCCATTTGTGCTTCGGCAGGGTACCCACTGTTTCTTCTTTCTGTTACCAAAGCCTCACAAAACTTCCTCAGTTCTTCAAAAACTGCTTTGTGGTGCAGAGACAATGAAAACACGGACATTCACATGGGTATGTAATTTAATGATGCGGTAGTTGTGATAAGTGAGGCTCAGGGGTCAGCTACATCTGAGTTGAGATATCATTCTGGCATTCTCTAGCACTGGTTTGACCGTGGGAAAGTGACCGCACTCCTCTCTGCTTCAACATCCTCATCTGTAAAATGCAAAATCTTACAGCACTTACTGTCTGTAGGTGGCGGCGCTGTGAGAGACTTAGGTGCCGTAATGTGTATGAAAAACTTAGCGCAGTGCCTCACACCTGGTAAAGTGTTCATGAAATGGAAGCTATTATTGTTGCAATAAGCAGATCTGTAAATGTAAAAATGCCTTCCTAGGAAAGCTGGTTTTAAATAATTATGGTGTGAACATTAATATTGCTATCTCTGATCATCTTGGTACTCTCTGTCTTCTGTTGAGAAGCCTGTCTGTTAGTTGTCTAGGAGTCCAGTGGCTTCTTGGCAGTATGTTCTGCACTGATAAACATCGACTTAAAATGGGTCATAACCACGAGGTAGAAACTAAGAAAAAAGAGAATGGAGCCACTTGAGTGACTACCTTTCTGGGACAGAGAGCTCAGAATATTGACCACTATAAACCTAGCTCCTGTGTTATAGTTTGGAAGGATCCTGATAGCTAATTAAATTCACTCCCTCATTTCAGAAATGGGAAACTGAGGTCCCCATATGAGAGACAGAACCAAGGCTAAATTCAGATCACTCTTTTGACTTTTTATTATGGAAATTTTCAAAAATCACAGATGTAGAAAGGCTACAGTAATGAACTTCTCTATACTCTTCATCCAGCTTCAATAATTATCAACCCATTGCCTCTCTTGAAAAACCTGTTTTGGGTCTGAGTCTGTTGTCACTTACACTTCCTCACAAAGCTGTTCAGAGCCAGTAACACACAGAGCACACCCCAGGCAAAGAAAGGTAGAAATAGAAGGAGGACACGGTATGAGAAACAGCAGGCTGTCAATAAATGCCTAAAATGTAGAAAATCTGCTCAAGTTATTTTTATAACAGTCTGGAGAACACAGACTTGTTCTGAGAGGACACTGTTCCTTTAAATTACTTACTGATCCCACCCAGATCTTGCACCCTGGCCAAATGCCTGACCACTCTTGCTTTAACTTAGGCTAATAAACATGAATAAAAGATTGCAAAACTTCCAAGACCAAAGACAATTTTTACTTCCACAGAAAAGAACAATATCAAATAGCCAACTCCATCCCCAACAATGGTCCTTGCTGTTGGCATTTGCTTAATCAGTCTTTAATTCCTGTTTGACAAACTTTATAAGGTAAGACATAACTGTTTTATTTTAATCACTTGAAATCAGAAACCACCTAGGTACCGCAGAAGACTAAGGGGTTTGCCTACTTATTATGTGAAGAAAGCTCATCAAAAATTTCTATCCTCTGCCATTACTTTAATTATTAGAAAAATATAAATAATTGTTAAAATGTCAACATTTAAAATTTATTTCAAAGTTTAAAATTGATTTTTAATTTGCAGTCTACTGCCTAGCGTTGCAATGATGTTAATACCTTTCAGGACCTCTTTTTCTTAATTTGGAACATATTTTTATAACTCAGTATTAATTACAGAATATTTTATAATTTGGCTGGTTTGGCAATTTGAATAAAGTCTTCTTTTGATAATTTTATCTTTCTGTGAAACAAATGAGATGCAAACACTGTGAATACAATTGGTAAACTGTGCCGAAAGAATTTTATTTTTGAAAAATCACAAAATATAAAGTCTTTTGGATTTGTTGATTCTGATATTAACCCAAGATAAATTTTAGGCAAAAAAGGCAAATATATGGCATTTGGTTAAAGATAATCATTGTTTCTACACTTATAAAATGTAACTTATAATGAACAGAGAGGTTTATGTTTCTTTTATTTAACTAATGGAATTTTCCCCCAAAACCTATTTTGCTTGTATATGATATCTAAATGAGAGAAAGGTAAGAATTACTAAAAACTGAGGCAAAATAAAATATGGCAAAAATGGTTAGAAATGGTGTGCTCTTAAGATGCCAAACTAATAAAAAAGAAAGAGATTTTAGGAAGGCAGTAGAACTAAAAACCAAAGGTATAAGAGTATCCTCTAGCTAATATCAGTAAAGAGAGGGGAATAGTACGACTGCTTAGGGAGAGCTGGATAAAAAATATCAGAGCAAATAGTAATGAAATATGAGACATAATGGTTAGTGCTAATTAATAAGTGTGATAGTGAACATTGTATATACAAAGCTTCAGCTATGCAATCATGATTATATGCCAAAAAACTATATGAGCAAGGGCTTAGTTTTAGGAAAGACGAGTCTTTATTTAAAGACAGCATTTCTAAAGCCCAAAATGAGGCCTATAAATGAGGAGAAAGTGGTTTTCTGCTCAGGATCCTGCATGGGAATTACCTTCTTTAGAGTTGTATTGATCATGTAGCTTGTAAAATCTCTCTACTTTCAATGAAATTAAATTCTCAGTCTCTTATTTCCAGAACTTCTGGGACACTTTTTGTGGTATGGGCTCAACAAAAGAGAAAGGTTGTATGTAATACCAGGGACACGGTGTTATTCCACCTGCCCCCCTCCAAAGACTATAGCAGCTACGTTTTGCTACATAGCCTTGTTCTTACTAGTCTTCAGAGTTAAATGTGTACATCCTTCTGTATTCTTCTCTTTGGTTAACAAGGAATTACTTGGGGAGGGGTGTCCTTTATGTGTTCCTTTTCCTCAGCAAACTCCTTGTTCTTCTTCTTTTTTTTTTTTTTTAACACCCAGCTGTCTTCACATCTTAACACACCTGGTCTGAAGAACAGTTGACATTGGCCAATTGCACTTGATGCACTTGCCAACAGAGGTGCTTAGCTATACTGATACAAGGTCAGCTTCATAAACTTCCTGCAAGACCATGTCAGTTGAGGAGCAGATTTTGGCATGGAGCCATCTATTGGTTCATCCTCAACCCAACAGCTTTGATTCCTTTTTGGGTTTCTCCATCTGGCATGTATGAAAGAAACCAGTCATCCATTCCATTTCTCACTGCCTTTGCATATATTTCTGCCTCCTATTTGAGCCTGGAAAAATCGTGCTTATGGTTTCCCAGTTCCCATTCCCTGAAGGCAAAGTGAAGGAAAATGTGATTTCCTTTTCCAGAACTTTTGAAGTCAATATAGTTTAAGAAGGAAAGCATTTCCAAACCATACAGAACGTTGGTTCACAAAAAGCTTTCTTGTTCCTTCTCAAGTACACTGGGCTAGCCCCGCATGAGTCTTCTCTTGCCAGGGAAGCCTGAGGGTTTAAAAGTCATTTGGTGTAGAGCTGGGCATATTGAGAGATGAAGATGGCTGTAGATTTTAATACAGGATTAGATTTTTCATTGTTAATCTATTCAGAAAAACAGCTTCACAGGAATGTTCAGAGGAAGTGCTTCTGATTTCAATCTTATTTCTATCACTTCTTCACTAGAAGAATGGTGTTGCTGAGCAAATCTATTATTTTTGCTCTCATACTCTTGATTCATTGGATATGTATACAGCTGTAGTCCAGCTTGGAACTCTGTTGTAGATGAAGTTTCCAAGTAAGAGTATAAAGAGAAATGGTGTTCTATGGGAACTGGAGGGGTGATTTCATTTTTGACTTGCCTTTTGGACTCACTGAAGTTGTGCATGTATTATTAAGACTGAAATGATGGTGGTTCTCTACAACCTTGTAAAAATATTGAGATTGTCAGGAATTAGTTATAATGAAACAACAATGTAGCAATCTGATATCACCTTGAAGAATGTGACAATGTCAAAAGAGAGCCTGTGTTTGAACCATAGTCCATCATATAGAGTGGGACTGAAGTGTTTTTAAATGGCTTTTCCCACTCTCTGCTCCCCATAATAAAATGGGAAATTCAGATTACTTGGATGTAATTCTTTGACTATATAGAAATATTCACTAATAAATGTTTGGTTGTAGTGCCATGATTCACTTGGATTAAAATCTTTTAAAATCCCAACGTGGATGTTTTTCTGTAAATATGAATGAAAACCTTTTGCTCCTGTCACATGCCAGTTTTCAATTCTGTCGGCTTTAAATTAAAAATAGCGAACACTGTACTTTACGAAAGTATTTATAACTGATTTTTCTATTAAAGGTGTTACAAGACAGATGACTTTTCACCATCTACCATAATGTGGAACAGACATTTTGTCTTCTGTCTCCTGCTTTTGCCAGCTTTTATGAGTCAAACAATACATGGACAAAGAAAGAAAGGATCAAAGTCCAATTTACTTGCAAGGAAAAATGATCTCCAGGGTAAAAGAAAAAATGTTTTGTTTTTGTTTTTAATATTAGTTTTAGCCTGTTAAAACACTAATATGAATTTTTCCAAATAGCAGTTGATGCAAATAGCAAACCATATATATAAACATATATGTAACATTCTATTTTAATATACTTATATTACGATAATAATATACTCTCTATACTTACAGAGCATACTTACAAAAACATCAGGTGTTTTAGAGCCTTTGTACATTTATTATCTCATTTGAGCCTCACAGTAGCTTTGTAAAATGGGAATGACAGAGACTGCCACTGTCCTAGATAAAGAAATTGAGGCCCAGAGATATTAAGTGGCACATCCAAGGACACTGGCAAATTAACTAGTAAGATCTAGAATTCGAACTTAAGTTCTCTGCTTTTATGTTTCTTTCCCCCTCCTTGCTACAATGTGATGCGTGTAGTCATTTTCTCCCTTGATTTAAAAAAAGCTAAAAACAAAACAAAAAACCACGCACCAAAACAAGATGGGGCCTCACCAATGTGACACACAACCTGAGAATCAGGCAGAGCATTATTTACTTCTCAACAAATTTGCCCAATATTTGTTGAATTTTGGGGTGCCTGGGTGGCTCAGTCGGTTAAGCGTCTGACTCTTGATTTCGGCTCAGGTCATGATCTCAGGGTCGTGAGATCGAGCCCCATGTCCAGCTTCACGCTCATTGTGGAGTCTGCTTGAGAGTCTCTCCCTCTGCCTCTCCCCCCCATCTCTCTCTCGAAACAAATAAAATTAAAAATATATATATTTGTTGAATTTTTGAACAATGGGAAAATACTCAAAATACATGGAATTTTGCTTATTTGTTTGCTCCTGACTCTCATGATTTTACAAGAGGCAAAGAATTTATAGACTTGGAAAGAGATTTAGTTCTTCACAACTTAAGCCCTACCTCCAAGATGCCTCTCTTTTTCACTCCCCTCTCCTGTCAAAACAACAACAGTAACAACAACAACAAAACCAAAAAAAAAAAAAAAAACCCAAAAAACAACAAACCCATACACATCACACCACCTCAGGGCTTTCCTTATGCAAAGTCATTTCATGAGTAGGAACAAATATTTTGCCTAACCTATTTGTTCTATTTCAGACTCTACTTGCTTCATAGATGTTGTCTTCATCGTGGATAGCTCTGAAAGTTCTAAAATTATCCTCTTTGATAAACAGAAAGATTTTGTGGATAGCTTGAGTGATGAGGTTTTCCAGTTGACCCCGGTTCGCTCCTTGAAATACGACATCAAACTGGCAGCGCTTCAGTTTAGCAGCTCTGTCCAAATCGATCCACCTTTTTCTTCTTGGAAGGATCTGCAGACGTTTAAACAGAGGGTCAAGTCTATGAATTTCATCGGGCAAGGCACCTTCTCTTATTATGCCGTCTCCAATGCCACTGGGCTACTTAAGAGAGAAGGCCGTAAAGATGGTGTGAAAGTGGCTTTGCTGATGACTGACGGCATTGACCATCCAAAGAATCCAGATGTTCAGAGTATTTTGGAAGATGCCAGAACTGCAGGGATATTATTTATCACCATTGGACTTTCCACTGTAGTCAATGAAGCCAAACTTCGTCTGATATCTGGGGATTCATCCAGTGAACCCATTCTACTGTTAAGTGATCCAACCCTTGTAGATAAAATTCGAGATCGCCTGGTAGGTACCTAATGAGTTGGTTTTATGTATATATTCCCAATCATAATACTGATACCTTAATTACAAATTCTGTAAGGGTAGATACTGGGTCAGAAAGATGAAGGAAAAAGAATCCATCTTGGAAATAGGAGAATCTTTCCGAAGTCTCTCTCCACTTCCTTGACAGTTTACACCAGATAAACTGGGAAAGTAACAAGGCTCATGCTCTGGAATTGCATTCCTAACTTTATTGCTAGCCAATGCTGAGGATTTTGGAAGAATTACTTTCCAATCATTCAGGCTCCTATTTATACATCCTGGGATCGCGAACACTGCTGACTAATATGCAATTTGTGGTCTGCTATATTTGTACTAAGTAGTTTTTTTCCCGTTTAACATCTGCAGAAATATTTTGACTCCATCTCTCACCTACTGCTATATTATGCTCCTCAAGCAAAGTTCATAGACTTCTAATTTTTTTTATTATGTCCTTGTTCTTAGGTGTTAGCAAGCCCACCCAATTTAAAATCACCTGCGACTTGCAGTCACCCAACACTTTCTCCCTGCAGATCAATGAGTGCCATTTGATTGGTCTGATTAGTTGTGTCAATGCTTTTCTTTGTTGATTGCTCAGCTGTGTGTGAGATTCTTTCCTTTCTGCTTGGGAAAACACAAGGCAAAGCAATCAAAATAAAATCCTTCTTCACAGTGTTTCTCAAGAAGAAAACTCCTGGAGAAAAAGTGGTTGATTTGTTAAGTGTTAAAAATTGATTTTCTTTTTTTTTCTTTTTTCTTTTATTATGTTATGTTAATCACCATACATTACATCATTAGTTTTTGATGTAGTGTTCGATGATTCATTGTTTGCATATAACATTTTCTTAAAAACATTGATTTTTTTTTTTTTCTTGAGAAGAGGGCAGGGCAAATGTATCCTTTAGGTACTAAGCATTTCGTATGGCTGTTTTCTATAAGTTTCAAAAAAACTCAGCCTTGTTTCAGAGATTGTTTTGACCCTTTTGTCCCTTTCCCCAATCCTTCTCCTAACATTATTCTTATAACTTATAAGTCAATATTAACTGTAAGATAATAACAGGTAAGTTATTCTTATAACTGTTGTTTTCAGCATGAGACATTGACTTTTTTTTTTTAATCTAAATAATAGTTACCACGTCTTGAGTGCTCTGTGTATTAAGCATTTTTCTGAGTACTTTGCAAATTTTATTTTATTCAGTGTATACAACAATCTTATGATGTAGGTACTATATTATCCTCATTTTATAGTTGAAAATGTAAGGACAGGCAAAAGCCCCGGGGTCTTCATGATTAACCCTGTGAAGTTATATTGAAAGGGGAAAATAGTAACTGGGTTTTAAGGTTTTGCAGTCAGAACTGCCTTGAAACAGTTAAGCAACATCCTTCCTCTAAAGTTCTATTGTTTCTAGCCTCTTTTTCTTGGGCACTGGGGCTAGATAGGGAGAGTTCTGCCTAGCTTGGAGATGATGCATTTGACCCCCAGGGGGCTCAGGGTGAGTGCTCACCCTGCGCATCTCTTTTCGTATAAGGGAAGTGTGCAGGGGTGCCTGGCTAACTGCCTAGCGCTGCCTGTGCCATAATTTAAGCAGTCCTTACCACTGAACCCCAAACAGATGATTCCAGCACGTGCGGGAGAGCACACTGGAGTTGAGATAATGAGTCTCCAGTTGCTGATTACAGAAGATACAGGACAGGCAGCTTCTTGTTTGGCCAGTTGTGGAGGCTCAGGAGTTTCTTACTCCTTCCAGACACACCCTCCTCGCGGAGAGCTCCTGCCCAACTCAGAACACAGGATCTTGGCAGTAGTCTCCAAGCAGGACTATTTGTTCGTTTCTGAGGAAACCAGAGAATGACCAAGTGTCCCAACGACCCTGCTCTTCCTTAGCATCCTGTGATTTCAGCTTGTTTGTTCAGATGGAAGCTCTATGAACAAGCCACTTCTTAGGAGATGCTGCTTTCTAAACATTCCCAACATCCAAAGGGCTTCTTAGGCCCTTCAAAGAACAATACACTGTTTCAATGTTTCAGATTGCCACTGTGTAGGAGACAGAACTTGATTCTTGATCAGGCCATTGGAAAAATTCCTCATCTAATCTACTGCTATTACATCTTTAGTTGAATTCCTAAACTTTTCATTTGGAAATAATTATGTAGTTGGCTTTCTAAAATAAGTTAATTAGGTATAATTCAAATACAAAACTGCATCTACTTAAGGTACACAATTCTATGAGTTTTGATAGACATATAGATTCATGAAACCAACAACACAGTTAGGATATGGAACATTTCCATCACCCCCAAACTTCTTCCAGCCTCTTTGCAAGATATCTTTCCCTTGCCTCTTAGCTCCTGATCTGACTTTTGTCACTCCAGATTACTGTATGCTTTCGAGGCTCATATGTAAATAAGCTTATGCTGTGTGTACTCTTTTTCTGTCAGGGTTCTTAGACCCAGCATAATGATTTTTTGGAATTCAACTGGGCTTTCTTTTGGTATCAGCAGTTTATTTTTTGTTGTTGTTGCAGAGTGGACTTTAGTTGAATTTTAATGGACATGAGTGCCCACAACAAATAGATCTTGCAGGAGCCAAGACAAATCAAGGAATCATTACCAACTCCTTGGCATCTCTAGTAAAAAGGATCATGTAAGAACCCCATGAAAACACTTCAGTTCTGAATAACCTCAGAGAGACCTGATGATTCCACATTGAAGAGGATATATAAAATGTTCTAATACTATTTTATTATGATTTGCATAACAGTATTGAAACCAAAGAAACAATTCCAACCCAATGTCTATATATATTAGTTGGTCTTTTAAAAGAGATTTTATGGTGGCTATTTGGCTACTATACTAAGCTGCAAATATTTTTTGGTTGTAGAGTTTGCAATCCTCACCTACTAAGTTCTTTATTCTCATTCTATTTGCTATTGTTATTGTACCAATAACTTTGATGACTTCCTCACGTTTCCTCTGTCCCTTTCTCATAGCATTGACCTCATACTCATTCACAAAATCATCAATTCCATTCTATCCTTCTCCTTTCACATATATGCCATCATAAAACTCTTCATTAATAAAATGCACCTTCTTTTGCTTTAGGGAGGTCTTGTCTTTGTCTTTTCCATTTAGACTACAGTATCCACCTAGATCCTCACTGAATGTGCCCTTCCCTTTGACTTTGACCATGTTCTCCACATAACCTGCTTCTCTGCTTAAGCGAAAGCACTCATTACATCCCAAGGTGTCCAGCTCTGTCCACATGGGCCCTTTTGTCCACTCTTTTTAAACATCCCTCCTCACTGCTTCCTTTGTCTTACAGCCCACACTAGTCTTTATGACTTTTTTCCTCATAACCTTTGACATATAGAACAACATTCCATCCATGAGTTGGTCGTCTGCATTCCGCTCTTGAAAATTATCCAGAAAACCCACCTATTTCAGGAAACTGTCTTGTTACCCACCTCCCCACCCAGTCTGGGATCTCCTTCCCACGCTGCTTGGTCTGTGCTGTTTTCTGTCACTGGGGCTTATAGACTATAAGTGCCCTTAGGGATAGAGCTTTGTTCTTTGTTTGAAACAGTCTGATCTATTGTGCAGTCCTGGGCCCATTTTTTTCCATAGGAATATAAATTCCACAAACACAAAATCAAATGAGTTCCAAAATTAGTTATGTTGTTTTGGTTTTAAGCCCCATGGCACATGTTTTTAAAGAGTTAATATGGCAAAGCAGACATTAAATTTTCAAAGGAAAAGCTGAAAGAGTGTACAATTATACATCAGGCTAGTAGCAGCTAAATTCATGAGTTTAAAAACTGATATTGGATAACAGAAGGGTGTTGCTTATTATAAAAGGGTTGTAAGGTGACAAAACTTTGGATTTTTCTTTATTTCAGTAGTTGTTTTCAAATATTACAATTTGACTTGAATTATTAGTTGTTTATTGTCTCTTGAACTCTTTTCAAATTCCTTTCTCTCTTTCTCCCTCCTAGAAAAACTAAATGTGTTTTAAATATTTTTATAATTTGGATCATATTCTATATATCCATCTGCAACTAGCTTTTTCACTCAGTGTCTTTGGAAATTTTTCTACTTTGAAATATGTAGATCCAATGTGTTCACCTTCACTGCTGAATAACATTTTGTTTATTGATCCATTCTAATAATATTGATATTATTTCCAAATTCCAAAATTATTTCCAAATTTTCACTATTAAAAATAATGAATGCTGAAATACACAGGAACCACAAGAATTTCCCTAAGACGTGTCTGCAAGGAGTGTCAGAATAACAGGTGGGAACAAGGACTTGTCTTGGGCAGCCTAGAAATAAAGCACACACATCTTCAGGTTTCTAGGTACAGCCAAATCTTCTGGGGAAGGTAAATGCCATTTTACGCCAAGACTGTCAGTATATCTGAATTCCCATTTCTTCACATGACCTGCTAGTTCATAAAGATACAAGTATCTCAACTGCTTTCTGCCTGGATTTACATCGGCTGGAAATTTTAAATCATTGGGGTGGGGAGTGGGTGGGACAGAGGGGTGGGGGAAAGAGGGCCAGAGGTAAGACTCTGAATTTTGTAGATTGGCTCTGTAGCCAGAGTTTACAACTCCTGAGACCACACAGTCAAACTTTCTAATTTTTCATGTATGTGAAAATGACCTGGAAGGATTATAGGGCTTGCCCAAGGCCACACAGCTAGGTAATGGTGGACACAGGATGAAAACCCTGGACCACACTTAATTCCCAGCCTAATTTTTCCTCCCATTACATCACTAGGACCACATAAAGCATTTTGCTGTAACTTCCCTCTGTATTATTAGTTTGTATGGCAATAAAGGTAAAGTAAAAATAAAACTAAAGGGATGTGGGGGTCCTCCCTACAGGTACAATTCTGACTTATCTTTAACTTCCTCACTACAGTCTTCATTTTTAATACCTTGCATATTCTAGTGATTTTTACTCCCATTTTTATTTTATCCTATGCAAATTAATGCTTTGGATTCAGTCATAAGGCATCAATCTGATCCATAGGTTCTACGTTATGAAAGCAATAATTCTATCTGTAAGCATAGGTTAATTTCTTCCCCATGTTTGGCTTCAGACACAGCCTTTAGTGCACTTGTCAGGTAATGCCCCACTAAGCTGAAGTAGGGTAGAGAGGCCTAGATGTTAGACAAAAACCAGATTGTGAATTTCTCTAAAACTGTGAATTTAAAGGAGTTTTGAAAAATATTCTAGTTAATTCATTTCTGTGTAAGTATAAAGTAGCACTTGAACTTGGTTAAGTGGCTCAGTCAAGTGTATGATCTTGGACAAGTCACAGTCCTGCAGACCCACATTTCCTTAGGGCAAGATGAAAGGTTGGACCTGATTGACTTCAAAGGCTTATTGATATTTCATGAAATGATCACTCTGAAATTAATGTTTTAATGCTGAAAAACAAATGCATGCATAGGGATGGAAAAACAAAAGAAGAGAAAACACACAATTATGTATTCTGGCTAAGTATAAGTAAAAGTGAGAAATTTTTATTATGACTGATTTAGCTTGTAGCCAGGTAATAGAGTTTCGAGAGCTGAAAGATAGAAAGATAGAACTTAGGATGCAACAGGATAAAGTTCCTAGAAAACATAATAATTTTTAATGTTAGTGCCCTTTCATGTCTCTTATTATATGGCTCAGAGTGTTCCTTGGGTGGTTGGCAGGTAGGCTCTATTGCTTTTACAAGGTTAAAAAGCTGAAATTGGAAATTGCATATCCCATAGGGAATAATTAAGACTAATAAGAAGCTGGAAGCAGAACATGAATTGAGTTAATGTTTTATTCTTTTTTATCTCCTAGGATATCTTATTTGAAGAGAAGGTAAGTACCACATGCTTTGATTACTATGAATTAATTCTCAAAATTTGCATGATCAAATCAGCATCATAATTCACGTTAGAAGATAAGGTGTATCTACATAAAAATGCTTAATTCTTTTAAAATGAACCACTCTATTCTGAGGCAGCCATCTGATTTCTCTATGTCTACTGCAGGTTTCAAAATCTGGAAAAAGTAGGAAATATTTTAATATGATTTTAGAGAGTAACTTTAGAAATCACTGATAACCAAATGGCATAGTTGTTCTGTTTTTTAAGATTTTATCTTTAAGTAATCTCTACACCCAATGCAGGGCTCCAACTCACAACTCCGAGATCAAGAGTTGCGCGCTCCACTGACAGCCAGCCAAGTACCCCGCAAAAGGCATAGTTTTTGCTTATTTTGATATGACTTCCTTTATTCTAAGCATGTCTCTGACACCAGCTCATAGGGGTCCTCCGCTTTGGGAGGTGTGCCTGGTGTTGGCCGGGATTCCTGGCCAAGAGACACAGCTCAGAGTCTCCCACTGGTGCCTGGTGATTGATTTTAAGCTCATTCTCCTTGATGATGACAACCACACCAGGCAGCAAAGGAAGCTGGCTAGTATCAGTTGGATGGTGCTTAGCACAATAGATGACCTCCAGGTTGCCAAGGACTTCTATACTGGACGTGTGTTTCTTAACACAAAGAGTTTGGAACATGCAAATTTTGTTGGACCAGCTGCTTATTAAATATCAGGACATTTACAAGTAGTACTGCAAAAAATAATAGGAGCCAACCAAACGCTGCAGAGCAGCATGCTTCAACCAATGGTCAGATGCATCCTTATTTTATGTACCAGTGAGACAGGAAAGGACCCTGCCAATTAAACTATGATATAGTACCTTCTAATAAGTGACAATTCTTGATTTTATACTTACAGTAAGAGTCCCTTTAGATTTATTTAGATATAGACTTTTAAATCCTCTATCACTTTTGTCCATACATATACGGGACAATGAAGGCAAACTAAACTGATTATTTCAAAAACTTCTTCGTATCCGGAGTCTGAATCTTCTGAATCGCTTTTTGGCTCTGATGTCCTCCGCCCCATCCCCTGCACCCCCCCCCAAAATCGGCCTCTGGGCCATCAAAAACACTGGTGCTGCAACATTTCTTGAGTGTGCTCCAGGAGTATCTCTAGAGTTTTCTTCCATTTCATTCTGTAAGTTTTGAAGGACATGGGCAGAAAATAACAACTTCATTATGATCAGGCCTGATTCAAATAAGACGTATTCTGATTTCAGACAAATAAGGAAAAATGTATATCCTAGAATTGATAAAATATGGTATGTCACAATGTTTTCCTTTTGGGCTAAAGGAGTGGTTGATATTTGTATAGTACTGAGCTTTGATGTGCTGTACAGAAGAGAAAAAGCAGAAATTCCAAAAATCCACTGAAAATGGTTATTTTCCCTTTTCACTGGCAACTAGATGTATGCCTATATTTTTGCTGGGAGGTCTATTTTATCTAACCATGGCAATGTATAATAATCGTTGACTAGCTGGCTCTTACTAGATCTGCACTAGCCTAGAAGAACTGACAAGGGAGAACAAAATCTCCATAAATTTGTGAGGTAAAATTTTGTCAAGGCAGTGTTCTATCTAGTTATGTACTGAATATGATTTGAAATGCTGTATTTCGTTGCGTGTTAATATTGGATTTCATTCTCGATGCAGTGCGAACACAAGATTTGTGAATGTGAGAAGGGGGATCCAGGCAACCCAGGGCTTCCTGTGAGTACGTTTCCACTTTGAAAGGAGGGTCAAGTCAGGAAGCCCTAGTCACAATTGCTCTACTTGCACTTGGAAATGCCACTGCTGGTTTGTGCTGGTGAAAAGCAGTCATGTGCAAACAGCAGCAAACAGGGAAATGCTGTTTCTTTCTCTGATTCCTAAAGGGATACACTCTGTCCTTAGAAATGAGCCTGGGATTTTGCTGACCTGAATGGAGGGCAGATTCGGTTAGAATGATGAAGCTGTTCTCACAAAGGATGTTCCAGCATCCCTTCTGATGTGACAGTTGGGGCCAGAATTTCTCAACAGTGAAACAAAAATATAGAAAAAGAGATCATCCAAATCCTCCGTGCTTTAGGGAAAGCTTTAGCCTAGAAACAAGTGACACAGAGCTCACTGGAAGTTCACTGTGTCTTCACATGTATCCAAGAACAACACTGGGTGGCCTCTCAGAGAGGAAGCTGGTCAGGGAGCTTTGGGGATTAGAGTGAGCTCTGTGAAATGGAACTTGGCAACTAAAGGTTAAAGGCAGGATTTATTATGATGATTCAACACTTGATAAAATAATCCTAAAATGAGTGCTTCCTTTATATTCTGGTCTAACATCTGGAAGGTGTCATGTATGCACTGGGAAGGTATTTGCAACAATATCGCAATAACTGGAGATACTGCATATTTCTCTAACACATATCATCAGAGGCATCCATGCTGCTTATTTGGTATTCCATTTACTTATGTGGTCTCAAACCCTATAGGTCAAAAGCCCAGTGGATATATTTCACAAAAATGCATGGATACAGTTTTTGAACAAATGCTTATATTGAGGGGCAGGGAGGAGAATGTGTACTGTGAATTTCTTAGACCGTGCCACATTTTCTCTTGAGACTCAGGTCAAAAGACTATGCTTTTTCAAACCATTCTACCAATCAGAAGGTGGGGATGTTTGTCTTTTTTTTTTTTTTTCCCTAAAATGTAAGTTAGATACATTACAAGACAATGTGGCAGCCAGTAGAAGCTGATTTTGGGCAAAGTAAAATTTTAACATTCCCTTCTTATAAAGTCTTAGTTTATATTTATTAGACCAAGAAATTACCAGGGGAAGGTTTACTTGGGATATTCAATTATATTTTAGAATGAGCAGTAAGAAAATTTATAGTTGTTAAACTAATCTGACAATTTCAGTCACTCAGTATTGTTAGAGATTAACTTACCATTGTTTAAAAAGTGATATATTTTAAAGATCTTATTTATTTATTTGAGAGAGAGAGAGAGAATACAGGAGTAGGAGAGAGGGGTAGAGGGAGAGGGAAAGCAGAAAGATCCCAGGACCCTGGGATTATGACCTGAGCCGAAGGCAGATGCTTAACCAACTGAGCCACCCAAGCACCCCTAACGTATCATTTTTTAAAAAGATTTTATTTATTTATTCTAGAGAGAGATAGAGGGGGAGTGCAAGTGGGGGGAGAGGCAGAGGGAGAGAGAGAATCTCAAGCAGATTCCCCACTGAATGCGGAGCCCAACACGGGGCTCAATCCCAGGACCCCAAGATCATGACCTGAGCTGAAATCAAGAATCGGTTGCTTAACTGACTGAGCCGCCCAGGCACCCCACCATGTTTTTTTTTAAACTGAAGTATAGTGGACACACAATGTTATATTAGTTTCAGGTGTTCAACATACTGACCCAACAAGTTTATACGTTATGCTGTGTTCATCACAAGTGGATCTACCATCTGTTACTGTGCAGTGTGATTATAATACCATTGACTCTATTCCCTGTGCTGTACCATACCATGTTTTAATAGGGTTAGACGTAAAACTACACTATTTAGCATTTATTGAGTGTCCCTAAAACCAGTTCTCAGAAAAGCCAGCTTTTTTGGTGGTTTGAGAATAGGAAAACATAACACCTTTCTGGAACAGGATTGGAGCACTTTCTTCTCTCATCTTTGAGATTATCCCTTGGATATCAGGCAGAGACAGTATTTTCTTTTGAGCAAATCTAGAGAACCTACCTATTCAAGACAGTGCGGTCTTCCTGGTGTGTAGTAAAGGTGAGAATACAGTTGAGTCTCTGCTTGGTAGGTTACGTTTGTTTACAGTCTTCATTCCTTTTATGGGATGAAGCTGATCAGAAATTTTTGTAATGTGTAAAAAACCCATAGGATGTGAGCTGAATATAATCTTTTCTCCCTTTGCCTTCAGGGTACACATGGAAACCCAGGTATCAAAGGTGAGCAAGGACCAAAAGGAAACCCGGTAAATGAATAAACAGCTTTCCTTATAAACCATTGTAGCTCTTTCTAGATTTATTTAAAGAACAAAAATGAAGAAAACAAAGAGCATTGTAGTGTATGTCAATGCCAAAAATATGATGATTTCTGTGAAGACTACAGGATGCTTACTTCCTGTATTATCTACCTGGTTTGTGTTAGCTTACAAATCCTAAGTAATATATGACCATTTTAGTCAATAAGTCTAGGAAACCTAGGAATGCTGAACAAATCGGAATTTGTATTTACATAATGTTGGTGCAAATTAATTGCTACAATGTTCCATGAATTACTAATATATATTCCATATCAGATTGACATTGACACTTATGTTTTATATGGATACATTTTATGGATAACTGACCTATGATAATAATAAAAAAAACAATTATCTCCTACACTCAGACCATCTTCAGGTATTTCCCCAATTCTTTTCTTGGTGTACCCATAAAAGAATTCTATATTAATTTTAAAAAGTCAGATAATATTTCACACGATGATCTTCCAAGCTCAAAAGTGGCTAAAAGAATCATGGGAGAGAGCTATAACTATGTGAAAATTTATGGCAAAATTCTATATCATGAAAAATAATAATTAAAATAAAGAGGAAAACAAGGAAATATTTTCATCAAATACAATGGACATTGGGTTAATTTCAATAGTATATAAAGGCTTTATAAAATGGATGAGAAAATATCAAGCCACTAATAATCAATTGGTCAAAGGACCCAAACAATTTCCAAGAGAAGAAATAAAACCAGTAAATAAAGAAATAGAAAAACATTTAATTTCACTAGATAATGACTGAAATTTAGATAAAGACAATGAGGTACTCTTCAATACTAATGATTCACATTTTAGAAACTTTGGAGTCCAAGTTTGTTGGGTTGTTTTTTGCATGGGGAGGGGAGCAATCTTCTAGTTCACATAGTTTGGGTTTTTTTGTGTGTGTGTGTGTTTCAGATTTTGAAAAATGTGTCTTTTTTTATAGCAGTTAACACAGCAATATTAAAGTAATAATAACTAGCGAGAGCAATGAGGTGGTGAAACTGGTTTGCTCTTCATTGCAAAGGTAACTTGGGGCAACATTTTGGAAAGCAATTAGATATTACACAAGAAGTATTCATATATTCAAATTTTAACCCAATAACTTCTCTTCTAAAACTATGTTTAGGGAGGAAATGAAAAATAGAATAAGTTAGATGCATGGAAGTATTTTAGATGCATGAAAGCCAATTGCTTGCTTGTCAAAGAAAAGGAATATGGTGCATCCTTGGGTATCTTTACAATACAAACACACACAACCCTACACACTCATTATTTAGGTCCCAACTGATGCCATCATGTCTTCTTTTTGTCTTGTTAAATACCTGTTTTAAATCTATGTTTACCTTTCATTTATTTGGCTTGTAATTTTGGGCCACATAATATATTTTCCTAAGTCTTGTTGAAATCAAGCAATTACTCTTAATGACATTTTGGAAAACATTCCAAAGCCCCTTGGAGAAAAGCCAGAATGGCTGGCTCCGATGGGGTACATTGCTCTATTTGAGAACAATGGCTGTGTTGTTAAACTGGGATGCAAAACTTGGCCTAAGCTGAGCAAATGTACCTGGATCCTGTGCTCTATGCATCTGGCTTCATTCCAAAGGGCAAAGGCTATCTGAACTGCTCTTTTCTTCCCTTGATGGCATGGTGAAAATGTCAATGATAAAGGCCAAAGATTTTTTTCTCCATGGAGTTAATCTGTTAATCTGAGACTTCTGAATAATGCATTTTATTAAGCCATCAGTCACTCTGCAGGGCTGTGGAATTTTGATTGAGTTTTGTTTGTTTGTTTGTTTGTTTGTTTGTTTTTTTGCTTGTCACAGGGTGATGCTCAAAAAGGGGAACCTGGAGAAAGAGGCCCAGGGGTATGTATACCCCTTCCCAAGAAAGTAATCCAGGATGCTAAGATTCTGTAATTGATCACTGTGACTTCTATGGTGCAAATACAAAAATGATTTATAAAAACGTGTGCTCGTGATGGCTCAGACAGGCAATCAGACAGATAGGATCTTAGAAGTAGAAATGTGGGGAGAAAATACTCTGTTCAACAGGAGTGATGATGGGACAGGGTAGTCTCTGATACTTAAGTGAGATTTGTGGAAGACTCAAGTAAGAAAAATATTTTGCTTTGCATCTTGTGTTTTTTTTTTTTTCCAATAAAGAATGAGTCAAAAATTCTGGGAGCACAGAACTATATAATCTAAACTATGCTTTGGTAAATTTGATCTACAGACCAAAAAAAAAAAGCTATCATTCTAGTTGATTTATTATTCCTAAAATTAGAAGATGTTCGAGATTGAGAAATAATCCCAGTAAATTTCTTTTTTTGCATTTTTCTGGGGAGTCGCAGCAAAGTAGCAAAGAGCAGAGAAATGTGTACGGTGAGTTAAAAAAAAAGGCCATCACATTGCTCCTCCTGGCTTGTCCCCTTGGCGAAAGCCCACGAGTCAGGGCCAGAGGTTTTAAAAACTTGATCTCTCGGTGTTTTTAATCAACTTTATGAACAATGGAAATTCATTCAGAAATGTGTGTTATTCATTTAGGAAATATTTCTTAGGTGCCTTCTACATATAAAGCATATTATTTTGTGAAAATAAAATTAAGACAAAGTGCTTATGGTTTTTGAAAAGTTTGTTATGGGAGAGATTAATTATTTAAAATAGCTACAATATTGGTTGCCAGAAGGGAAGTGGGGGTGATGGGCAAAATGGGTGAAGGGGAGTGGGAGGTATAGGCGTCCAGTAATGGAACAAGTAATTCACAGGGATGAAAGGTACAGCATAGGGACCATAGTCAGTGGTATTGTAATAGGGCTATATGGTGACAGATGGGAGCTACACTTGTGGTGAGCAGAACATAATGTAAAGAGAAATTGAATCACTATGTTGTACACTTGAAACTAACGTAACATTGTGTGTCAGTTATACTTTAATTAACAAAAATAGCTACACTATGAAGCAGAATGTCAAAATATTATAAAAATTGCATACACAAATTATTATGGGCACTCAGAGGATAGTGAAGCCAGGGTAGGTTTTATAGGATAACTCCTGGAGAGTGCAGAATTGGGACAGGAAAGGACAGAACAGAAAGGTGAAAAGCAACAGGCATTCCAGCTAGAGGTTGCCATGAGCAGCCACCTGGGGGAAGGCGATGTGTTGGAAAATGGTGCGGGGGGATGCCTGAAGAGGAGTGTTGCCAGAAACAGCATGAAGATCACAGTAGGTGCTCCATGCTTTGCTAGGTGAGAGATTTAGATGAAGTGTACAACCCAAGAGTTGTGTACTTGGAAGATTAATCTGGCATGACTCTAAAGGAGAAATTGAAGTGGGAATAAGCAGAAGGAAGGAGCACTTAGAAGAAGGTTTTCTGTTACAGTCTGTATGAGAACAGGGACACTGGCTCGAGCTGCTTCGGCCAACATGAAAGCTGCTAACCATATGTGCTCACTGAGCAGCTGAAACATGGCTAGCCTGAATTGACGTGTGCTGTAGGAGTAAAATACACAATGAATTTTGATGACTTAGTATCAAAGAAAATATAAAATATCTCATTAATAACTTTTATACTGGTCACATGTTGAAATGACTGTATTTCAGACCTATTGGGATCAGTAAAATATATTGTTATTATTGTTATTGTTATTATTTGAGAGAGAGCACACATGCATGCGAGAGTGGGGGGGGGCCAGGGGCAAAGGGGGAGGGAGAGAGAGAGAATCTTAAGCAGGCTCCATGCCCAGTGCAGAGCCCGACGTGGGGCTCAATCTCACAACTCTGAGATCGTGACCTGAGCTGAAATCAGGAGTCAGACACTTAACCACCTGAGCCACCCAGGTGCCCCTCAGTAAAATATATTCTTAAAAATTAATTTCACCTGTTCATTGCTGCTTTTTAAGTGTGGCTATTAGGGAATTAAATTCTATATGAAGCTCACATTCTATTGGGCAGAATTGGGCCACAGTGGTGATAGAATAGAAAAGAGACCATTGTGAGAACCATGAAAAGGCTGTGGGGACCGACTCTGACTCATATATTCAGCAAACATTTATTGAGCACGTGCTATATGCTGGGCCCTTCTTTACACGCTGGAGATACAGGAGTGAGCAAGACAGATAGTTCCTGTTTTCATACAGTCTTCTAGCAGGGAGAGCAATAAACAGGCAAACCAATGAGATTTCATCAGCGAGATGTGTTCTGGAAACATAAAACAAGGTCATGAGGGTATTCTAGGCAGAGAGAGCAGTAGGTACAGAGACTCTTGAGTGGGAATAAGCCCGGCGGGCTGGAGAAATGGGAAGAAAGCCAGAACTTGGCAAAGAGTGGTGATAAACAGGTTACGGAGATAGGCAGGGGTGGATTACGGAGGGCGCTGCTGGCAGGGGTAGGGAGGATGGATTTAAAATTAAATGCAGTGAAAGCTGGTGGAGAATTTTAATTGGTTGGATTAAAGGAGTATAAGAGGCAAGTAGAGAGAAAAGATAATTATAAACATTTGATTCTGTGTGATTTGAAATATGATGGTACCATTAATAGAAACAGGAAAGTCAGAAGCAATTTTGGCAGACCGATGAGTGCAGTTTTGGATATTTTAAATTGGGCTAGTTTAAAACTAGTAATTAAGATGTCCTGAAAGGAAGGAAGGAAGCTGATAGCAACCAAACAATAAATTGACCAGAGATTTCAGAAAGAAAAACGGGAAAAAAGAGGATGCTGTAAAAAGTAAGGTTTCTATTCATAAGCTATGTTGACTCCTTCCTAAATACAGTCTTAATTCTTTTAACATAAAATAATGACAGGATTTTAATATGGAGCACCCCCAAATTCCTGAGGCTGGAGGTCCAGCATTTCTTAGTGCTGAGAACGTGAATTGTTTTCATCAAGAACCCCAATTTAACTGTCTATAATGTGGCCTTTAATTTTAAGCCCATGTAAAAACTTAAACCCTTTATGCTAATAAATATTTCTAAGATGAATTAAATTATAGTGTAACAATATTTTTGATTGTAGTTCTATTTTTATGTCCAATTTCTCAGTGACCGCTCATTAGGAGAGATGTATTATTTCCTTCCCGAAGTTTTTCCTTTTTTGCCTCTTGTAAGAAAAGTCATACAAACCAGAATTCTGTAGTCTGACACGAGTAACTGCAATAATAGCTTGTTTATTCCATTGGTTTCTCCAGCTCACTTAAACTATGTCTTACAATTCTATTTTCATACTTAAAAGCTATTGTTGTAGGAAAAGGACATGAAATCCTATTTGAAAAAGTCTTGCTCTTGCTTAAAGTTGGTAATTTTGCAGTTCACTTAATATTCAGTAGTATATTACCTAAAGGGCTCTCGGGCAGGGACACGATGGAGGAGGCTGTGCAGGATTCCCTGGAGTGACACAGAAGGGGAGCAGAAGCACCAGGCCCGCAGTTAGCAGGACAGAAAATATAGGAACTTAAAGATCACTGTCTCATTAGCGTTGATAAAGGAACCATTCATTTCGTTGATGTTCTATATTCCAGCCCGAATTTGAAAGGAGGACCATAATGGATATAAATATTTACACACATTGGAAAGGCCATTATCTTAGCTCATTTTCAAAGCCAATTTCTCCAACAGCCTCTGTGAAACATTCTCAGCTGGGACGGTTTGTAGTTTAAAAGTCAATACAACAATTTTGAAAGGAGCATTACAGGTGGTCCCTTCTACAACAAGTTTCGGTGTCTAGTCTCTCCTTCAGCTGTGGGCCCACGGGTAAGGAACTGGGTTTGAAAAAATATGTGGAACTGAGAATAGAATGTAATTAAGGGAAAAGTAGGTTCTTTTCTTCTCCCTAGTCAATGTGCATTCCCTAAGCTCAAAGAGAAGTAACATCGCTTACATTTCCATATGTGGTCTTAGTTTCCTGACATACAAATGTGTTTTGTTATACTTTGTAAATGAAAAACATCAAATACTTTCTCCAGCAATATCTTCTAATATGTTTTACTCTTTCTTTCTTTTTTCAACTAGGGAATTCCTGGGTACAAGGGTGAGAAGGTAAGTTGATAACAACCAATAGGTAGACCAGGATTTCAGAAAGAAAAAGAAACCTAACTGTATTTATGTACTTAATAAAAGTTGTTTTCCTTTATTTTTGTAAGTCTGGGTTCCCTAAGTCCTAAGTATACTCTTAACTCTGTTAACACAAAATAATAATAGAACTTAAGATACAGGACATGTTGTAGGGGTGAAAGGCACCCTAAGATTCCTGAGATCACGATCCAGCCTCTCTCAGCTGGGCAAACACGAGAACCCCAATGCAGCAGGCCTGCAGCACAGATATCCAGACTCAAAGTTTCTATATACAAATGGATGCAGCAACACAACAGTTAGGTTTCTCCCGTGGTGCTTCCTTTCCTGTAACATCCTGGTGAAGCAATAAGGAACCGCTTACTTCATATAGTCAGGCGTCTGGGTAGAGCTGGGTAGGCGTCTGGTAGGCAGGGGGAGTAAAGTTGTCAAGCAAACAGAAGTTATGGGCTAATAGGTTATTTTAGGATTCTTTGCCAATTACAAGTTAGTAAGGTGGATGGGGGCTCCACAACCTTTGAGCGTGTTCCATGGTTCCTTCATAGGTTCATGCTGCTGTGTTCTCTGTTAGCAGATTTTCTATCTGAAAGCAGAGCATGCCTCTCTCATTCAATCTACAGCCCTCAGACCTGGGCCAGAGATTTCACTCTGGGTCTCCTCCAGCCCGACCCCTATTGGAGCCAAGAAGTTACAGGACATTAGGTAACCAAGACCCCAGAAGTCCCTGCAAAATGGCCTGAGCCTGCTTTGAAGGCAGATACAAACTTCTTTCCTCTGTCCATCTTTTTCCTGGGCCTGAGGGGAAACAAAATGCAAGTTGTTTGTTGAGGCAGGAGGAGGCCCTGGTAGGAGCTTCCTTGTATTGTGGCCTGGGGCACCTTCGTGTGCATCGGTTGTTCCTCCTGGGGTGAAGGAACCAGAAGTGGGGAGGAGTCAAGCGGGGGCGGGGCTGTAGGCTGTGGGCATGGGGATGAACTTGCACATGGACCTCTGAGGAATACCAAAATTCTTTCATTTTGTATTCCTTTTGAAGGTATACTTGTCGAAAAAGGAAGTTAGAACATTAGTAGGTTATTAGCTTAATGTATAACTTTCAACTATTTCGATACATGGTATGTAGGCCTCCCCCTGCACTCCTGCCCTTGGCCCTGCATATATTAGAGGTGAGTCTACATACAGGCAAATAAATATATCCCCAATCACTGGAAATGTTAAGTGCCTGTTTCTTCATCTGTATAGAACTGGATTAATGTAGGCTTCCTTAATTTACAGGGTGGTTGGAGAATCAAATGGAATTATGGATGTGACAATGTATTATAAACTCTTTGCTTATCTATAAATGTAAGGTGCTATTACGAAGAGGCAGGGAACCAATGATAATACAGGAAAGTTAAGAAAGTTTCATGATTGTAAAATTGTCCTACATACAGTTGAAGAAAATTATCCAGGCCCCCTATCTTGATTTATAATATGAGCTACTCATGAACACTATATATATATTTACACACACACACACACACACACATATATATATATTCATGTATATTTATATGTATGAAAAGACTCATTTAACCTTCTGGGAAATTACAGAATCACTGGTGGAGTTCTCATTTGGAAAATACAAGCTGTCAGAGTAAAGTGACCCCGGACCATTGACATTCAAACCAGAATTTCACCAGGAACAGCAACATCAGAAATCAGAGGCTGGAAACAGAGCTAATCTGTTCATAGCTTTCTGGAAGCACTTGCTTTCTGAAACTGTGTAATTGTGACCATTCCACAGGGATTACTGAGCCCACCAAAAAAGAAAACGCCTTTGCAGAGGCAAATAACATGAGTACAATATTTTCATTGATGGAAATCTGCCCCCAAAACAAATGCTGTTCCTCAGGACCCTATAGCTAACAAATCCGTCTGGACAAATGGAATGTGAATCCTGGCCAAAAGAATTTTTTGAGTGTATTTATGGTACTTTTCTGTTTTATATTTTGGTGCTTGACTCATTTTATTTCCACCCAACATTATTAAATTAATTGCTTTCTAACTGATTCCTCAAGAGTGATTTTCCATTTGCATTCAGAAATAAATGTTCAGTTTGTTCGAAGTGAAATCTCAGTTTTTCCTGGGTCAGTTTGACTCAGTTTGATGTAGAGAGAGAACAGATTGCTTTTGAACAGGGGCATAGCTGGATCGAGGAATTGTACCTCCCTCTTTCCTGCTCCCAATGCCAGCAACACCCATGTAGTACCCTAGGCTAGCGGAAAGTAACTTGCAGACCATGGCGGGTTGCCTTGTTCAGCGTTGGGTGGTTGATGAACATGGACTTGGGAATCTAACAGACTCAAGCCTGTGGTCATGGGCAAGCTGTTTAATCTCTCTGAACCTCCTTTTCCTCCCTCTCTCTAATCTAATATAATCTGTTGTGGGGATTAGCAGTAATGTAAAGGCTTTGGACTTTGGATCCATGATTGGTGGTTACACTTGTTATTTCCCTTCTTAGAGCAGTGCTATTCCAAGCGTAGTCTGCCGACTGGCTGTCGGTCTGTGAACTGCTTGTTGGTATTTTGTGATGAGATAAAGCTCGCATCGGAATATAAATCCACTCTATCACTAAATACACCGTTCCGTTGACATTCATTTTTCACCGCGTGTCTTCTTTAATGGAGGCAGGGCACTGATGTTCACTGTAGTGCAAGTCTCTTACGTCACTGTGTGGTGGTGCTTTGAGTAGCGTGCCTTACAGCGCGTGGACGGTAAAGCAGCAGCAGAAACAGACGGTAGCAAGGGCACAGGGCTAGGAGTCACTGGCTAGCATGTACGTGTAAGTAACTCATTTAAGCTCTTCAGTTGAGTTGCCATACCTTAAAAATATGAATTGCTTTGGGGCAACATGGTCAGTGATATTGTAATAGTGTCCTATGGTTACAGATAGTAGCTACACGGTGGTGAGCAGAGCATAATGTATAGAGAAGTTGTATCACTATGTTATACACCTAACACTGATGTAACCCTTTGTGTCAGTTGTGCTCAAATAAAACATTTTAAAAAGGAATTGCCTTGAGGCTCAGAAAAAAAATATGAAAGCCCTTGAAAATTCTAACTTTAGTCATTTTTCTAATGGCCTTTGCTACCTTTTAGTTCTAATTATTCAAAGTCTTAGAAGTCTGATACAATGGATTAGTATTCAGAGGTCCCAATTCTTCTACATGAGCGCGTTACTTAACTTTTGGGATCACAAATTCTCAGTCTGTGAAATTGGGCTAATAATATCTATGTCAGACAGTTAACGGCAGCTTAACAGATTACGTCTGCAAAATAACATTGATCGTCAACTGTAAAGCATAATTTAAATGTTAGTTCTTTTTTTCATTGCTATCCCAAAAAAGGCAGGACAGGAGAGTGTGACGACGGGAAGTAACAGTGTGCTTGCCACCCTGCCCGTCCCCTCTTGCTAAGGCTTTTTTTTTTTTAATATTTTACTTACTTAACAGAGGGGGTGGGGCACAAGCAGGGGGAGCTGCAGAGGGAGAGTCAGAAGGAGAGACAGAGAGAGAGAGGAAGAAGCAGGCTCCCACTGAGCAGGGAGCCTGATGCGGGGCTCGATCCCAGGACCCTGGGATCATGACCTGAGCTGAAGGCAGACGTTTAACGACTGAGCCACCCAGGCGCGCCACCCCTCTGCCCAAGTCTTTATGGCTCCTTTCCCCACCAAGCCATGGCATGGTCTTAGGACCTTTTTCTTACTACTAACTGATCAAAGTTGGTACTCAGGATGGAGTATTGTGTTGTGGAAAAAATAGGGACTGTGAGTCTGAGCTACTTGATCGAGAGAAGTTATCTTGTTGAGTGTAAGTTTTCTCATCTCCAAAATAAAATTGTAAAACTGATCTCATTGAGCCGTGATATGGATTCAAGTAAATCACACACACACAAAGCATATGGTAGATGCTCAGTAAACCTTTGTTTCTTTCCTTTTAATTTCATCCACCTCTCAACAATGTTAAGCCTCACTAGGTGGTGTCGCGGATTTGATTCTGTTAAGGATGACTCATGGATAAAATTTTTCAGAGTGCAATGCCCAAATAAACTTGTGTATAACCCATCAGGTTGCTTATGTCATAAGAAATCTTTTTTAAGAATCCTAACCCCGAATAACTGCAAGTGCCTTCTTATTTATTTCATTTATTTATTTTTCAGGGGGAAAGTGGAGAATGTGGCAAACCAGGAATAAAAGGTGACAAAGTAAGGAACATGTTTTTAAAATGTTAACAGCTGTGATCCCTTTGGGGCTGAGTTTCCTGAAGAGGAAATTCCTGGGATGCATTACCTGGCTCACACTACTGCAGTTGGGAAGTTATTGGCTCCATTTTCACATCTGTAAAACATGAAGCAGAAAACAAAGCCATACCTAACTTTAGTTAATGGAGCCCCCACATGCCTTTCCTATGGGCCTTTAAGATCTTGCTTTGTGGCACCCTAACCTTTGAGGCCAGGCCTACAGAATGTTATGGCGAAAAGAATAATTTAACCCGCAAAGTCAACTCAAGCTCCAATCAGGTAAAAATGGAATTTTTGTTTTCAGATGTAAACACTGACAGCAAGCACTTTCCAAAATAGAGTGAAGAACTCTATGGGATAAGTTAACAAAATAATTATGAGTAATGTGGCAGAACTAGGCAGAGACAGGGGTTCGAAATTTTGAAATTGCAGCAAGCCACAGGCAATTGGGTAGGTATTTACCTTTCGCTAAAAAATAAATATGAATAAAGTATTTAAACTGGAGACAACATTAAATATGTTAAGGAGTTCCTTAATGGACCAGAAATATACAGAGAGTACGTTTGAAGCCTAATGACAAAGGATCCAAAAACGTACAGAGTAAAAATAGTTTTCAGTATATTTAAGAACTATTAACAGCATGCTACCAAGATCTCAACTCTTTCCATATCTGTATTTTAATTATGGGAGAGAGCTAAGGAAAAAAAAAAAAAAAACAGGCAAAAGGTGAAAAGCAGAGAATAAGATAATGACACCTGCCTATGTAACTAAGCATTTTAAATAGCTTGAGATTTTGTGAAAGCGTTTAAAGTACTGTGGAGTTAAAGTCCAGGTGGATCTGAAAAATGTAGGCTTAGTAATTATCTCTGGGCAAAATGAAACTGTAGTAATGAATAGATTCTGCCTGGAGGATAATTGAAAATGGGAGACGGGCACGGACTTGAAAATACAAAAGGAGGGACACAGAAGAACAAAAATGAAAAGTTAAACAGTAACTGTGAAAACTATTTGAAATGAAAATGGCTGACGAAGAGTTAATATCATATTTCATTGACTAAGATGTCAGGGATTGTTAAATGCCCTATTATTTTCTGTGCCAAAAAAAAAAAGAAAAAGTGCTGCCAATTATAAACAGAAGATGCAATTGACTGTAAGACATATCTTAGTGTCAGAGATGTAAAAATCTGAAAAAAAATGCATGTCTAGAGTCAATGAAATATAGTGTCCTTGACAGGAAGAGTTCATATAAGTTTATAAGTCAAACATATAAAGAACATGAAGAGACACAAGAGAGGGAATATAAATGGCTAATAAAAGAAAAAAAAATCCAAATGTATTAGCAGTCAGATAAGTGAAATTAACATATTAAAATATTATTTCACTTGTCAAATTAGCAAACACTGAGACAATATATAATACTCAGCATTGATGCGGAGTCTGTAAGGTGAAGATGCACTCTCTCTACTCAGGGAGTAGGAATGGAAATCTGAACAAACTCTATGAAGGAAGTTTTGCTTTCTCTTTCAATGTATGGTGTGAGCCACAAAAGAGAGTGAGAGAGCGTTGGATGTGCTCATCGTCTCTGTCTGTCATCCTCTTCCAGAACACCATCTTTAGGAGTCCATCAGAAGCAGTACATGATTTATACACAAAGATGTTCTTTATAATACTGTTTAAAAGAGTAATCATCAGAAATAATTTAAATGTCAATACTAGGGAAATAAAGTATGATAGATTCATATTCTTGAATATTATTCCATTTACTAAGAGTTTTTAATGACATGGAAAAATATTTTTGATACAATGGAAGACCAGATAAGAAGGGCACAAAGTTGTATATGCCCTCTAATCAAATTATTTATTTATTTATTTTTCAAATTATTTAAAGAAATATAATTATTGCATAGGCCTAAAATGTTAATAGCAGTTGCTTCTGTGTGATTTTTTTCCCTGTTTTTTTTGCTTTTTTCTATAATTGCTAAGGTATGTCTGTTATGAACAGGTTGTATTTTGGTAAGAAAAAAAAGGAAAATGTGAGAGAAACTAGACTATATTATATTCTCATAAAAATAAATTTTAAAGGGTTTCCTACTTATGGAACATATTAAAATATTTTTTCTATTAAAAGAGGGTTGAATATAAACACTATTTTGTCAAGTTGTGTGTCTTGATGATGGGCAAAAGAGTGATCTAGACATCGTGGAAAATCACTAAATTGTCAATTGAACTGATTTTGCCTTGTTGGAAAGAAACAATATTCCACTAAGTGTACTGCTTTCTGAAGAATCTTAAGAAATAAATTCTTTACTCTGATGAAAATTTCAATATACAGGTGAAGGACTTACATCTAAAATGGTGTTTTCATGGAGTTTACTAAAGGAAAATTTGACTTCAAGTTGGCTTATTAACTAGGATCATTTTGTTAATAATGCATCCGTTGGCTTTGCTGTTTGGATAACCTGGGAAGATTAGCCGTTACTGAGAACACATTCCCTTCTTCTCACCTAAAATCATTGCATTTGAAGATGGGTATTTAGAGCAACTTACCATTAATTTTATTCCATAGGGATCCTTAGGACCACATGGACCAAAGGGACCCAGAGGACTTCAGGTAAGGAGGCTAAACCAAATCTGTCTGATTAGATTAGATTAAAATAATAGGATTAGAATCACCTAGGAAGCTCTTAAAACCCACTGTGCCCATTTGCTCTCTCTGCCAATTCAATCAGAATGTCTAAGGAGTGAAGCCAGGCATCAGTACTTTTAAAGATTCCCAGGTGATTGCAATGTGCAACCAAGTTTGGAAATCACCGCCCTAATATTTTGAGTAACTAATTCAGGCTCTCCAAAGATAGGTACCGGCAGGTGAGTTTACTTAGTAGAGGGATAAAAGTTTAAAAATTCTGGTGTAGGAAGACAGATAAATCTAAAGCAATTACAAAGAAGATGTAACTATTTTTGTTTTGCTACTGTAATGTAGTTGGAAGAACTATGCATTTTATCTAAATTACAGTATTTGTATTGTTCCATCATTATAAGTACTTAATGCTTGATAACATGGAATAATTCCTTAAGGCATTTAAGTTAAGCATACTCCATGGATTTCAAAAAATAATTTAGATCAGTTTTTTTCCCCCAGCCTGGAGACTCGCCTACTCTAAAGTTTTCATGGGGGGAGGGTGTGTGTATATGAGGAGTTAATTTCAGTATTTCAGAAAGCCTACTGAAAATTATAACTTGACCCAAGATTTCCTAAACAGCATCTAGTTAACCATCAACTCCTTTGCTTTGGCCTAGAATTGTATTGGGGCAGGGCAGTAACTCTGGTTATCACGGGGTCATTAGAAGCTCCAACTTTCAGTTACAAATGACTAAGATATTAAAAAAAAATTGTTGTTCATTCAAAATTTTTCACAAAGGGCATCCAGCACAGGCGTAAGGTTGGAAACACAGGCTTCGAAAGCAAACACCTCGTGAATAAATGTTTGCTCTCAGCTTAAGTACTATTTTAGAAGCTGCCTATTTGACATGAGCAATTTTATCTCATTCCATTTCTCAGTCACATGTAACCCTAATGTAAGTCCGAGATATATAGTCCGACTTCTAAACTCAGCATCTCTAGGGACCATAATGGACGATTCATTCTTGGTTGGCCTTTTGTGTAGGGAACTAATTCTTGATTTTCACCTTGGAGCAGGGCATTAGTGGACCTCCAGGGGATCCAGGCCCGAAGGGATATCAAGGCAATAAGGTAATCATACCCTTTGATAAAAGATAGGCAGAGTGCCTTTCCCCTAGTGAGCTATAGTGATGTGTGTTTTTATTAAGCAGAAGTCAGTGGACTCTGAGGATGTAAATTTGGCAATACATAGCTTTATCATTTATTATTACATTATTATTATTATAATATTATATTATTATATTATTCAAAGGCACATTATTAAATACGAGCCATTATTCAGAATCTTTGCAGTATTTCCTTCTTATTCCTGCTCTTTAGTCATTTTAGGATTCACTAGAAACTGAAAAGTAGTAACAAATCACTGTATTTCCCCATATGTGATGTCAACTCAATATATAGCTTATAAAAGAAGGAAATGTGTAACTGTCATACCAATAAAAATCAAGCTTTTAAAAATCATTACAGGGGAGTAATCTCAACCATCAGTACCATGCTTGTAATGTTATTCCACGGATAACCAAGCAAGACAGCAGGAGGGGTTGAATAAGAACCAAATAGAACCCAAAGATGCTATAGCTGGGATATTTAAAAGACCTGGTTATAAGGCTCTGTTTTCTAATGAGGGTGGCCATTAATTTGCTGAAAACAAGCTTTTTAGTACCTTTTAAACTCTTCTCAATGCTTAGTAAATATCATGGATATGGTAAATATCCCATAAATAGTGTCATTAGTGACTGGAGATCTGTGGGATTTGTGGTAGCAAGAACAGCAGAAGGTGCCATCCCCAATGGACCCTAGATAAAGCCAGTCCTTTAAGGGGGCTATCAAATCGAAGCTGTGGGGAGCAGTTGGGCTATGTGAGTGTTCTTTTTCCAGAGAGAGGAAAGAGAGTGACAAGTATAGTATTTTTAACGAGATAACGACAATATGTGATTTCCCAGGCCACTTTTAATTGGCAAATTAAAATAGAATGAGCTTCTCAGCGGGAGTGTGCTTAAGCTTCATCTGGGGAAACTGCCTTTTCCAGTCCTTGCCTATGATTAATTTTCTCTGGGGAAGAGAAATGTATCTCTTGAATACTGAGTAGAAGTTTTTATAAAATTGCTTTGGCTGTGGATAAGATCCTGAAGCGAGAAAAAAAATATTTTGACAGTCCACGCTTTTTTCTAGGATTCTTTGGTTACCTAAGATGATAATTTTCATGTTTGTGAAAAAGAGGCTTAAAATCAGGGATCGGGGTTGAAGTTTGCAACAATGATAGAATTATAGAATGTTTGAGCTGCCAGGGATGTTAGAGATCATACTGGCCCAAAGTTTTCATTTTGGAAAATGAGAAGTGAAATCTGGATATCACATGTCTTGCCTGAGACAGAGGCACAGGGAGGCTCATCAGCTTTGGAGAGTACCCATGGAGGGCTGGGAGCAGGGCAGGTAGCTTTGGGAGATGGTTAGTGGCAGTCCATCAAAAGGTGCCATCATTTGCTCACTTCTATTCATGTCTCATACAATTACTATTTAGTTTTTTTTTTTTAACATAAACTTATGTATGTATGTATTTATTTATTTTTAAGATTTTCTTTTTATTTGAGATCCAGAGTTAGAGAAAGCACAAAGAGGGAGAGGGAGAATCAGACTCCCTGCTGAGCAGAGAGCCCAATTTTGTGCTCGATCCCAGGACCCTCAGATCATGACCTGAGCTGAGGGCAGACACTTAAATGACTGAGCCACCCAGGCACCCAACAGAAGGTTATTTAAACAAAATTTAGCTTTTAATTCCAACAGTGCATTAAGTCTTAGAATAAATATAGTTGAGTGTTTAGGGGAAGTTACAATTTTCTGAGGTAATAACATTTCATGCTTGACTTTCACATCATCCTAAGTATTTGAATACTTTTCATGAATTTTCCAAGGTCCTCTTTAAAAAATTTTTTTTTAAATTGTGGTTAAGGGGGTACCAGGGTGGCTCAGTTGGTTAAGTGTCCAACTCTTGGTTTCAGCTCAGGTCATGATCTCAGAGTCGTCAGATTGAGCCCCAGTAGGGCTCCACATTCAGCATGGAGTCTGCTTGGGATTCTTTCCTTCCGCCCCCCCCCAAATAAAATAAACAAACAAAACCTTAAAAAAAAATTATGGTAAAGGATACATAATAAAATTACTACTTGGGTTTTAATCACAAAATTCACTGCCAGGTGAATACACAAAGCTCATTGAATTGAAAGATGTCAATTTCTAGAAAATGTTCTGGGTTGCTGGGAGCAAATGGAGTGGGAGTGGGTTTTTCTTTTTCCTTCTAGTAATATTTCTGGTTTAAGTTCACAAATTTAGTAGTCTCTTGACTTGTACTTCAAGACTATTATTAATTTCTACCTCTCTTTGGATCTGTCAACCAGAGATGCATATCACATTGATCATTAAAATTTTTAAAATTTTATACATTTATTAGTATATCATCTTAAAAGCCTGGTTTCCAGGAATGATTTCATCTTGGGTCTCAGAATGTAATTCTACATCTTGAAGACTTAGTATACTCTTTTTTCCTCGATCTGGAAATAATATGTTTATAATGATATTTCTTTTCATACATTACCATTTTATTATAAAATGTTTTTAAGAAATTGCTATTGCAAATTGTGCAAAAAATTCCCTCAGACCTAGTAATTCTGTATTTTCTAATGAGCACAGGGAGGATTATTTATTTTGAAACTTCTATAATAATCGATAACATTTATTGTGTATTTATTATATACAGATATATAGTTCTAAATACTCACTTAACATAATACCACCTTTTGAGGCATGATCTAGTCTTAACCCCAAGATACAGATTAGGCTACTCAAGGAAAGAGAGGTTAAGCAATGGGTTCAAGTCTGTATAGTTAGTAAGGGATAGAGCCAGGATTCAAACCCAGCCAGTCTGCTCTTAACCACCATAGTATATTTATCTCCTTAGGAATATTGCTGAATTTCCTGAGTAGTTGACCTGAGATAAATGCATTTCTTTTGGACAGTATGGAAATTACATCTGTCCCCCTTCTCTTGTACTCTGGCTGGAAACAACAGTCTGTTGAGAAATGCATTTCTATTTGGTTATAATGTTCACCTGAAAATGCAGGAAGAGAAGGATGGGAATTGCATGGGAAAAAGAAACCAGTAATGTGCATTTTCAAATATTTTGTTTCTTAGGAAACCTTCATCCAGAAACCTTTAGACTTGTAACATTTGTAAAGATTCCATAAGAGTTTCTAGATGGGGCCTGTCTATGTCTTTGAATTTATGAATGGTTTCTCATGAGGTACAGTCCCATTCTCTTGCTCTAGTAGTTGGATTTTCTTCATCAAAGCGTTTGCAGAAAGGTGGTCAAAGAACAAAAGGAAAAAAATTACATGTGATAAATCAAGGAAAAATGTGATGCGAGCCCAGCTTCACAAATCATTTCTGTCATTAATATTTTCCACATGTAAAGTAGCTCCTATTTTGCCCTGAATGACTAGTTGTCTTAGGAACAAAATATAGATGTTTCTCAGAATGAAGTTGTGGCTCTGAGGCCACTTCAGCCTCCCCCATATATGAAGGTCATGCAGTGACATTCATAAGAAGAACATCCCATCAGTCTCTAAAACCAATTAGCATCATAATCATAAAAGGGCCTTATCCCTGGGACCAAATGGAAAATGCTATAACCCTGGAGAGAGCACAGTGCTCTATCTGAGTAAAAATTGAGTACCTAAGAGCCCTACACCGACTTCCAAGGGTTACTGTGATGGTTCAGTTACAATCCCATCTGGTCCTAGAATGGGCCCTCTCATAACTAGAAAAAATGGCTCAAGATTGGCAGGGCTTTCAAATCGCAGAGAACAAGTTACAAAATTAGTTTTGTACAAATAAACACAGTAGAATGCTGGGTGTGCCAAACCCACATTAGGTAATTTTTGCCATTTCTTGATGTCTTTCTGAGGTTATTTTGGAAGGGTGTTTCTTCTCAAATCTCATGCACATCAGCTCTTTCCAAAACCCTCTTTGTGCTCCTGGGAGGAGGGCATGCTCACTGTGGCATGAGCAGAAAATAGCTTGTTACATGGAGTATCCTAGTACAAGAGCTTTCGTGCTAGGGCCAAAGAGCACTAGGAAATAGCCCTGATATGCTTTCCCAAGTCAAAGTACCACATGTTAATCCTCCAACAATTAAAAAGACCATGATATTATATTCTGTATTAACTCATCTTAATGGATGAATTACCTTGCTTCTCATAACCTCTTCCATTGTTTTACTCCAGGACATTCATATATTTCCTACAGGGTTTTTTTCCCCTAAGATTTTTCTTCTTGTACTACACACAAGTGTGAGAAACTCAAAGTCCTTTTATATATGAGACTTTGTCTTAACTCACTTTTACTTATGAGATGTAAAAAAAACCAAAAACAAAAACAAACCCACAGAGAGATAGCACCAGTCTTGTCTAGTTTAATAAATAGATATGGTGAGGGTAAATAATCGCCAGTGAATCAAGCATTAACCCATCCATCCAAAATGAACAAAGGACCTCACATCCATGAAGAAATGGAACCCATGCTTCAAGAGGAGTGAGGGCAAATTAAATAGTTAAACCACTCCATGGTTCTGCACCACACCATGATTCTTGGACACCCTATTCCTCCTTCTCCAACTCTGTCAAGGTTTCATCTCATTTCTTGAGATTTCCAAGCACAGTATGTATTTTTCAAGTAGCTGATATTCTTTGGAAGAAGTCAAGTAAATAAGAACTAAATGTACAAATCCTAAAGTTGAAACTTAGTAAACACCTCTACAAAACATCCTGTTTTCTTCAAAATGTCCTATGAAAAGAGGTCGATTTTAAAAAGAGGGCTGTTGTAACCTTTGTAATAGCTACTGTGAAAGCCCATGCACAGATTTTTGGTAGCTGGTAGTTTCCTGTTAGCTTCCATGCATTATACCTTTAAACATTGCTAGCCTTGTTTCAGCTATGAACCATTGGTAAGAGAATTGGACAAATATGGGCAGGTCCTTCACTGTTTAAAAAAGAAAATCCAAGGCAGAAGATCCAGTGACA